CACAACATGCCAAAACTTATCAGACACAGTGAAAGCAGTGCTAAGAGGGGAACTCACAGCTGTATATGCTTATATTAAAAAAGAAATATTTCAAATTAACAAACTAACTTTATATCTTAAGAAAGTAGAAAAACCAAAGCTAGCAGCAGGACAGAAATAATAAACATTACATGATAAATGGAATAGGTCATCTATAATAATAAAAGCATAATATGCTAATTAGACCGGATGACCATCCAGACAAAGCCGGGGCTGTGAGGGAAGCCTGGGTCCTGGGTGCCAGAGGGAAGCCAGTGCCGGCAGCCAGGGGAAGGAAGGCCTACTCTTGCATGAATTTCGTGCATTGGCATCTAGTATGTAAATAATAGAGAAAACAGTGAAACCAAGGGTTGGTTCTTTGAAAAGATCAACAAAATTGACTAACCTTTAGCTAGATTGAATAAGCAAAAAAGGAAGACTCAAATAATTAAAATCAGAAATGAAAGAGAGTACATTTCTACAGATAAAAAGAGAATATTATGAACAATTATATGCCAACAAACTGGACGACCTAGATTAAATGGACAAATTCCTAGACACATATAACCTATTAAGATTAAATCATGGTGAAATAGAAAATCTGAAAAGACTAGAAGGTTATTGAATCAGTAATCAGAAACCTCCCAATTGACTGGTGAATTCTACCAAACATTGGAAAAAACTTAATTCCAGTCCTCTACAAACTCTTCCAAATAATTAAAGAAGAAGGAACACTTCCAAACTTACTCTATGAGTTCCGCAATAGCTTGATAGCTGTCAGAGAAGAAACTACAAGAAAACTACAGAACAATATCCCTAATGAATAGGGATGCAAAAATTGTTATCAATTAAAATGACCAAGTGTATTCCTGGGATTTATTCTTAGAATGCAAGGATGGTTCAACATATGAAAATCAATCAATATAAGACACCACATTACTAGAATGGAGACAAAAACCCCACATGATTATCAATTCATGCAGAAAAAGGATTTGACAAGATTCAGCACCCTTTTATAAAAAACTAGGGGCCCAGTGCACAAATTTGTGCACCTTGAAAGGAACTGTGGGCTGCAAGGCTGTGGTGAGCACAGGGGCGGGTCTCAACCCATCCTCCACACCCCCCCCTGGCCCCTCCCACCATGGCCCCTGGTCCCCTGTCTGCCAGCAGTGCCGCTCCCATCGTCGCCACTCCCACGCACTGACGGTGCTGGCCCCGCTTGCACCCGCTGACGGTGTGAAGCGAGTGCCCGGAGGACTGTGAATTTTCAGTAACCACCAGAGTCTCACCCTAATAACAGCGATTGGCGCCCCACCTTGGTCTGGTGCCCTCCATCCTGCTCCACCATCCAGCCACGGCTGATGCCTGCCATGTTCCACGCGTGCCCCCTGGTGGTCAGCGCACGTCATAGCGACTGGTTGTTTGGTTGTTCTGCCGTTTGGCCTATTTGCATATTAGGGTTTTATATATATAGACTCTTAACAAACTATGAACAACAACAAAAACTCTCTCACAATAATAAAGGCCATGTATGAAAAGCTAACATCATACTCAATGGTGAAGACTGAGAACTTTTCCTCTAAGACAATGGTTCTCAACCTTCCTAATGCCGCGACCCTTTAATACAGTTCCTCATGTTGTGGTGACCCCCAACCATAAAATTATTTTCATTGCTACTTCATAACTGTAATTTTGCTACAGTTATGAATCGTAATGTAAATATTTGATATGCAGGATGTATTTTCATTGTTACAAATTGAACATAATTAAAGCATAGTGATTAATCACAAAAACAATATGTAATTATATATGTGTTTTCCGATGGTCTTAGGCGACCTCTGTGAAAGGGTCGTTTGACCCCCAAAGGGGTCGTGACCCACAGGTTGAGAACCGCTGCTCTAAGATATGCAACAAAATAAAGGATGCCTGCTTTTGTCACTTCTATTCAACATAGTATATGTTTCCCCCACTATCTGAAAGTAGATTTTTTCCTATGAAACCTTTCACAAGTCAAACTGGTGTAAAGCAAAGGATACCCCCCCCCCCCCCCCGCCACACACACACTTTTTGAAAATGGGATACCTGTACTGGAAATCCTAGCTAGACCAAGTAGGCAAGAAATAATAAGACCTCTAAATTGAAAAGGAAGAAGTAAAATTATCTCTATTAACAGGTTATATGACCTTATATGTAAAAAACCTAAAGATTCCACACACACACACACACACACACACACACACACACACACACCCCAAAACACCTGTTAGAACTAATAAAGAAATTGTAGTTGCCAGGGACTTAGGAGAGGGGGGAATGTAGGAGTTCCTGGATGCGTATGGTTTTAGTTTTGCAAGAAGGAAAGAGTTCTGCAGCTTAGTTGTATAACTGTGTGAATATACTTAACACTGCTGAACTGAACAGTTAAAATTGGTTTAAATGATAACTTGTATGTTATGTACATTCTACCACAATTAAAAAAAATTTAAACTGCACAGATTAGTTACGTCAAAGTTCCAGGCCCGACAATATCTTACTTATTCTTTTAAAAAACAATGTGTGACAAACCTCACAGTTTTGTTTGGAGCTTGATGGCATGTTCACACCATAGTGTAATAGACTTTAAAGTGATACACTGAACTTCATGATGTAATTGCCAGCTGGTGTATCACTGAATAATGTTAGAACACTGAAGAATTAAGCAGAAACCATTAGGTCTATATTTCTACTTTTTTTTTTTAAAAAAAAAGAATAAATAGCAACAAGAACCTTGGAATATTTTTCTTAATGGAGACTGTTATAGAACTGCATTGTCTACAGAACAGTTTGTGACCACTTGCAGTTTATTTTTAAGTATTTCACTTGTATAGTAAGATAGATGTGGCTATTTTGGGGTAAATATCTTCATAGCTTAATACTACTAGTAATCTAAATTTTGGAAATTTCTAGGAGGTTTGAAAATGCATGCTGTTAACATTTTTGTGATTTCTTTCCATTGCTTTATCAGTAAACATAAGGCAGTGGGTGAAATTAAAATAAGAGGTAGCATGGCATGTTGATGTAATGTTTTTGGATGGTTTCTAATCATGTGACTTTGACCAGTTTTTTAAATCTTTCTGATTCCAGTTTGTAGATTAGAGGTGATAATGTCCACCCTGTTTATTTCCTGGGCTTCCCATTAATTCTTCCACGGCGGGCCAGTACACCAGAGCTCATACAAAGCACTTAGGACATTTTTATCCCCAACAAATTAATTATTAAGAACCTAAAATACGTATGTGTTCATTTTGAAGAAGATATGGGTCTAAAGTGATTTTAATGTTCATTATTACTGCTATTATTAATTTATGCATTTGTTTTACTCAAATGTTATTGATAGTCAAGCAAAGCACCCTTACATTGTATAAATCATGAGAGGTTTTAAATTTTTAGAACAATGAAGCTTTTAGGGTTATTAACAGTTAATAAGCAATTTGCAAATATACTCATTTCTGTGCCAGTAAGTGAAAATTTTAAGAAATAAAATTTCATGTTATTGAGTCAAACTGCCCTCCTTCAGTTACTTCCTATCCCAGTTACACTTCCTTTTTATGTTTCAGAAAGCTCAAACTCTTCTAACAAATGACAGCAGGCATAGTTTTGTATTGTCTTTGAACATAAAGATGGTGTCATTAACATACCTTTTAATAGAGAATGTTCATATTATGGTAGACCCGTGTTGATTTAAAAAAACAAACAAACATGTTTTCAACTTTAGAGTTGAGCCAATGACCTTTAGAAGAAACCAAGGCAAACTCGCCCACACATCCATGTAACATTTTGATCTCAATAGAAAGGGTCCTAATCAGTTGAGTTAACTATAGAAAAAAAGCTTTGTATAGCCGAATGATTCTTTTTTAGAAACAGCTTATCGATACATTATTTGCACCTTCAGTTTAATGTGTGAAAGTCAGTGGATTTTAAAATACTTACAGTTATGCAGTCTACCATATTCCAGTTTTAGAACATTTTCAGCACCCTTCCTTCTCCTCCAAATCTTTCTATCCATTAACCCTTTCTTTCCACTCTTTTCCCTAGGTAATCACTAATCTATTTTTCATTTCTCTGGATTTGCCTGTCTTTTAAATGGGATCATATAATCTGTGGTCTTTTATTAGTGGCTTCTTTTCTCAGGCAAATGTTTTTGCAATAAGAGTCCCATATTTGTTTGGTTTTTAACCCTTTGAGTGCCAACCAATATCCTAGGAACTATGCTAAAATTGCCAAGGCATTTTTGCTGATTTTACAGCAGTTTAGGAAAAAAATTATGAATCGCAAGTGCATGAAGTTACATATTCAAAAACTTAAGGAAACTTTTACTACATTGACATATTTAGCAATATCATCATCACTAACAAAAGCAGACTTAGAACTGGACGCCATTTCGAAGCTTTGATAGCGCTCCTGGCACTTTTGGCGAAAGACAGGAGGAGCGCGATCGCGCTCCCTGGCACTCTAGGGGTTAAGCTGTGATTTGATCTTAGCCAAAGACTATCACATTAAATTGTGATAAAAGTCATTTTCTTTAATTTTTGGTGTTTATCAATGTATTTTGGCTTTATAATTAAGATTTCAAATTGTATGTTTTTATATGCTTATACAATGTTATAATAAATAAAGCAACTTAAACAAACGTAGGAAATAAAAGGGGGTGCACTTATTATTTGAGTTTGGTGATCACTGTTATCTGTATCTTGAGATTTGTGCCACTGGCTGTTTGTTTTTAGAGGCAGGCCTGTAGCTCTAGAATCTGTGTCCTGTGAGATTGAAAGTTGGTATTTTCCACATGGTCAAAACATAATTTAAGTAATTTTCTTAATGATTTGTCTTAAAAGCCATCCTGAAATAAAGGAGGTATTAAGAAGAAATGATTTCTTTGTAAGTATACTTACACCTATTTTTTCAGAACTTTGTTTTATTTTCACTAATAACTTTTAATTTCACAGATAATCAGTATGCATTTCCAAGGCTTTTGGCTATGTTTGGGTATTTTATGCATCTCAGTTAATGCAGAATTCATGGATGATGATGTTGAGATGACAGACTTTGATGAAAATCCAGAAGAGACTGATGTTAATGAAAATGAACTCTCCTCAGAGGTAAGGTTATTGAGAAATCAGTTGTAAATTATTTCTTTACATGATACATAGGAGTGACTAATCTCTTAAGATTTATTTCAGTCAAAATAATCTTCATTTCCTAAATAAGTAGAAGAACATGCTTTCCTCCAACTATTTTTTGCTTTGTGTTTTAGAGTGCCCTTAACTACAGAAATCTGTGCATGGCACTTGACATGGTTTTATTACCAAGTAAATATGGGGAAGGTTTTTACTACGAAATAGGAGTTCATCACTGGCTAACGAGGACTAAGTGCTTCTCGCTAAGAGGAAGGTTTTCAGTCTTATTTCTGACACTGCCAGCTCTCTGTAGGTAAAAGAAAAGGTAGTATTATTTGCAGTTCTCCTAGAAGTAAAGTAAAGTAGCTTTTTTGGTGCATGTCTTGAAGGAAAAAAAGTACTAAATAGGAGGATGAATTAGAAAGGGAAGTGATGACGAAGTCAGCAGTTAGCAAGCCCAACTGTGTTTCTGTCTTAGCATCTATAAAATGTGCTGTGAGGTGGTGACTAAGAGGAGTCTGAAAAACTTGGCAGAGTTTTTTTTTATGTCTTGACAATCCGTAAGAGTTTTCACATTGAGGACTATTCATCTGTCATAATAAAAGCATAATATGCTAATTAGACTGGACAGCCAACTGACCTTCCGGACGTCCTTCTGGACGACCTTCTGGATGAAGCCAGGGCTGTGAGGGCCAAGACCCTTGCATGAATTTCGTGCATTGGGCCTCTAGTATATAATATTAGGACAGTCAGACATTTTTCAGAAATATTTTTGATGGTGAGAGAGCATCAATTGTATTGTGCCAGCTGTGCTTAGAGGGTGAGAGTAATATGCAGTTGTTATAGACTCATTGTAGAGGTTTCTATTTGCAAATGCAAGTGTTGTTCAGCTAATGTGAATATTCACTCTCCTGTTAAATTTTAAGCCCCACAAGCACATTCTTTTAAAACTTAGTTTTATGAACCACAGAGAGTAAGTTACCAAAGTGCTAATGACTGAGTTAGATACAGCTACTACAGGGTCTTTGGAGGTGAACACTCCAAACCAATTGGCAGATACCCACCCCTCTTAACTACGGTTGATGATAATTTGAAAAGGTGATAAAAAGTGGGAAAGAACAGGTTTGATTTTTGGCCCTTCTAATTGTATGGCATGAGTAATCAAGTTACGATAAAATATAAATAAAGGGCAAAATACACTGCTGGTGATGTAAAGGGCGGTCTAACAGATGAAGGAGGCCTCTCTGACACCATTGCCCAATGTTCCGTTGTGCCAAAAACAGAGCAGGTAACTTCATAGTCAGTTGACTATTTTGATAGCAGAATCTTGACCCTGTTGATAATTATGTGGAATCTTGTTTAACTATTTGTACACCATAAGCGTCTATAGACACAAGCGGTGGACCTTTTTAAATTAAATTCAAAATATCGTGTCAGTTAACTGGTTAATTACTGATTTTTCTCCCTTTAACAGACAAGAAATGTTATACTATTAGGACAGGATAGGGGCAATGAAAATGGAAAAAGTACTTCTACATCCTTTTCTATAAAGACTAGAGAAGGCATCTCACAATTAATCATACAAATAAAATCATGAAGGCTGACTCAGAAAGGATCCAGATCTATTATGTTTGGCAAAATTTAATCATTCATCATCCATTCAAATTATCTCTTGATAATTTGTCAGTAAACTATCTTTAATCTTGTAAGTTCTTTTGTTGGCATGTTCTATGTAGTGTAGCGGTGAAGTGTACAAGCTTTGGAGTAGGACAGCCTGGACTCATAACTAACTGCAAGACAGTGGGCAAGTTACTTAGTCTCTCTCCTATAGCTTCATCGTACATGAAATGGGCACAAAAACAGTACTTTTCTCGTAGGAGTGTGGTGAGGATTAAAAGGCCACCGTATCTCCCTCACCACCACCTCATCCATCATGATCATCATCAGAGCAGCTCTGCAGATAATTTGCTTTGCAGTGCTTTCTCTATTGAATATTTTTGTTTTACAGGTTCCTAATTTTTCAATAGTGTCATCATTCTCTAGTCACATAGCAGTGAAATTTAAGAGTCAATTTTAAACTAGCCTACATGCTTACTAAGTTCTTTATCTTGTATTTTTATTGTGCTATTTATTTTGCTTCTAATGATTTATATCCCCAAATATGATAACCTGTTAGAATTCTTTTAAGGCCATGTCACCTGTGTCATGAGGCCTTCTCTATTGCTTCTTGTTCCTTCTGTGTTAGAGGAATCGGTGTATCCTCTGTTTGCACATACAGTATGTTTTTCCCCCCGTCATCGTATCTCTTATATTTTCTTGTATCTTTTCACCACCAGGATACAAAGTTTTGAGGTCAGCCGTAACCCGTTTGGCTCAGTGGATAGAGCGTCGGCCTGCGGACTGAAAGGTCCCAGGTTCGATTCCGGTCAAGGGCATGTACCTGGGTTGCGGGCACATCCCCAGTAGGAGGTGTGCAGGAGGCAGCTGATCAATGTTTCTCTTTCATTGATGTTTCTAAAACTCTATCCCTCTCCCTTCCTCTCTGTTAAAAAAAAAATTAATAAAATATATTTAAAACAACAACAACAAAGTTTTGAGGTCAGAGACCATGTTACCTTATATCTGTATTACCTATATGTCCATTATATAATAAGTTCTTAACTAGTGAGATTATTTAACTAAAATATTTGTGAAGATGAATAACTTTAGATTTTTAAAAATTATTTTCTAGATTAAATATAAGACACCTCAACCCACAGGAGGAGTATATTTTACAGAAACTTTTGATAGTGGAAGGTTGGCTGGGTGAGTATTCATTCAAAAGAATGATTCCCTTGACTTGATTAGTTTTTTATTGGTTATTGGCTTATGAAAATTGCCCCTACTATGGAACTATAAAAAAATTTTAAAGTGCTTTATTTGACAGTGTAAACCAGTATCTTAACACATTTTTGTTATGGATAGAAATGTTTAACTTGAATAGTTATTTATATAAAGAAAATAAAAACAAATGAATTATGAATATAAAGTAAGAATTTATAACATTCTTCCCCCTTTAGGACAGATATTAATAATATAATTTTACATGACAAATTTAATTTTCTATTCTAAATAATGGTAAAACAATAAGATTCATTACTTATTGATTATTATATGCCACTGTCCTAAATAGGTAGGTAAATACTACCTTTATCTCATTTTATAGGTGAGAAAGTGAGGCTTAATGTATCTTACCCATGATCATACAGCTGATTGCAAATAGCAAATCTGATTTAACTCTAACCTTGCAGGATGATGTATAGGTGTCCGATTTAGCCTCTAAATATTTATTTTTGAAGAGAAGTAACTGTTGGATATTCTTTTATTGTGTTTCTAATATGCATTGTATCTATAAATTGCAGTTTTATTTTTAATGCTATACATTTGCTTTTACCTTTACTTATAGGTGGGTTTTATCAAAAGCAAAGAAAGATGATACAGACACGGAGACTTCCATATATAATGGTAAAATTTTTATTTAAATATTACTAGTATGACCCAAAATTCACTAACTTTAGAGATTATATTTCTATGAAATATGTATATGGGACCTCAGTCTTCACAATAGAACATTCAGTCTTTTGTCTCTTTTCTAGTATTTCTTGGAGTCCCTGGGTAATCCATATTTAAGCCACCAATATCAGATTTCCTTGCAGGACTATTTAGTGTTCATAGTAGTTAATGATAGCGTCTCTCTCTTTAAAAAAAAATATATTTTTTTATTTTATCGATTTCAGAGATAAAGGGAGAGGGAGAGAGAGATAGAAACATCAGTGATGAGAGGGAATTACCAGTTGGCTGCCTCTTGCACATCCCACATTGGGGATCGAGTCCGCAAACCGGGCATGTGCCCTGACCTGGACTGTGACCTCCTGGTTCATAGGTCGATGCTCAACCACTGAGCCACACAGGCTGAGCAATGATAGCATCTCTTAAGTGCCACTTGAGTAAGTTTCATTTTCACATTTTTAGGAATAAGCAAATGGGCATGAAACATTAAGTGCTGGGAAACAGGGTTTACATTGGGAATAGACTTATTTAAATTTTTCAGATTGAGTTGTTAATAAAAATACAATAGATGTTTAATAAATACCAATTCTTTTAAGTGACCAACTTTCAGGATATCTTATGAAACCATATAAATTCTTTTATGAAGTTTTAATTACCTCAGATTTTATATTACCTGGTATTGTCTACATCAGTGATGGCGAACCTATGACATGCGTGTCAGAGGTGACACGCGAACTCATTTTTTTGGTTGATTTTTCTTTGTTAAATGGCATTTAAATATATAAAATAAATATCAAAAATAAAAATCTTTGTTTTACTATGGTTGCAAATATCAAAAAATTTCTATATGTGACACGGCACCAGAGTTAAGTTAGGGTTTTTCAAAATGCTGACATGCCGAGCTCAAAAGGTTTACCATCACTGGTCTACATGGTACTAAATGGTACCATGTAGAACTAATGCTAGGTGGTACCTTTTTCATAGCTGATAAGTGTCTGTGCATAATTGCAAAGAAAAAGTAACACAGTTTTAAAAATCTTTCATTAAAAACGGCCTGGCCTGTGGGGATCAGGCCGAAACTGGCTCTCCGACATCCACAGAGGGATCCCGGATTGCAAGATAGAGAAGGCGGTTCTCGGGTGATGCACCCCAGAATCGGGCTCCCTCCCCTCTGGTTCTGGATGCGACACCCAAGAACCGCAGCTGCCAAGCCACTGCAGCTCGGCAGCTCCTGCATTGAGCATCTGCACCCTGGTGTTCAGTGTGCGTCATAGCTACTGGTCAGACGGTCACTTGGGCTTTTATATATATACTAGAGGCCCGGTGCACAAAAATTTGTGCACTCGGCGGGGAGGGGGGGGGTCCCTCAGCCCGGCCTGTGCCCTCTCGCAGTCTGGGACCCCTCAGGGGATGACCACCTGCTGGCTTAGGCCCGCTCCCTGGGGGATTGGGCCTAAGATGGCAATCAGACATCCCTCTGGCAGCCCGGCAGCCCTCGGGGGATGTCCACTTGCCAGCGGGGAGCAGGCCTAAACTGCAGTCGGACATCCTTAGCGCTGCTGAAGAGGCAGGAGGCTCCCACCACCACTGCTGTACTGGCAGCCATCAGCCTGGCTTGTGGCTGAGCAGAGCTCCCCATGTGAGAGCGCCCTGACCACCAGAGGGCAGCTCCTGCATTGAGCGTCTGCCCCCTGGTGGTCAGTGTGTGTCATAGTGACCAGTCATTCCCAGTCCTTCTGCTGTTAGGGTCAGTTTGCATATTACCCTTTTACTATATAGGACAGAGGCCTGGTGCACGGGTGGGGACCGGCTGGTTTGCCCTGAAGGGTGTCCCGGATCAGGGTGGGGGTCCCGCTTGGGTGCCTGGCCAGCCTGGATGAGGGGCTGATGGCTGTTTGCAGCTGGTCACACCCCTTCAGGGTGGGGGTCCCCACTGGGGTGCCTGGCCAGTCTGGGTGAGGGGCTGAGGGCCATTTTCAGGCTGGTGGGTGACTGAAGCTCCCAACCTCTCCTTTTTTCCTTTTTTTTTTATTCTGGGATTTATTTACCTTCTATGGCTGTCACTGGAGCTGAGAGCCAGCTTTAGCTCTGAGGCCTGGCTCCAGCTTGAGGCCTCGGCTGCTGAAAGCAGGTATCTGGGTTTGTTTAGCTTCTATAATTGAAACACTGTTGCAACTCCAGCTCTGAGGCCCGGCTGGCTGAAAGCAGGTTTCTGGGGTTTGTTTAGCTTCTATAATTGCAACATTGTTTCTTAGAATTCAGCTCAGAGGCCAGCAGCGGCAGGCGGGGAACCTTGGCTTCCTCCATCACTGGAGCAAGCAAGCCTCCTGTTCACTTCAGCTGCCTGGCTGCCAGCCGCCATCTTGGTTGGCAGTTAATTTGCATATCGCCCTGATTAGCCTATGGGAAGCGTGTCGGAGGTACAGTTAATTACCATGTTTGTCTATTATTAGATAGGACTAGAGCAGGGGTGGGCAAACTTTTTGACTCGAGGGCCACAATGGGTTCTTAAACTGGACCGGAGGGCCAGAACAAAAGCATGGATGGAGTGTTTGTGTGAACTAATATAAATTCAAAGTAAACATCATTACATAAAAGGGTACGGTCTTTTTTTTTTTTTAGTTTTATTCATTGCAAATGGGCCAGATCCGGCCCGCGGGCCGTAGTTTGCCCACGGCTGGACTAGAGGCTCGGTGCACAAATTCATGCATGGATGGGGTCCCTCGACCTGGCCAGTGATTGGGGCCGATAGGGGCCCGCCGGCGGGGGGGGGAGGGACCACGGAAGGTTGGCCGGCTGGCTGGCTGCAGGAAGTTGGCTGTGGGAGTGCACTGACCATCAAGGAGCAGCTTTTGCATTGAGCGTCTGCCCCCTGGTGGTCAGTGCACATCATAGCTACTGTCCGGTCGTAAGAGTCGCTTAGGCTTGTATACATATAGATAGATATCCTTAAAATCCTAAAGATAAAGGTGTTACTTCTAAAAAGAAGACCTTTTTGTTTTGGTCAAAACAGGTTAGAAGTGATAATACAGTTTATCAGTGTGAGAGAAGTAACATCAAGTATATTAATCTTCTTTTGAAAAGTATGTATAACCAAATTAGAGGGAGAAAAGGAAGAGAAACCCAAAAACTTTAAAAAATGCATTTTTAAAAGCTCAATAAAGTCTACAAAATGATAGACCAAAAACACCTTTCTCTGATTCATAAACCTGGTTTAGGTAGTTGCTCTGTGGGTTTTTTCAGAAAGAAAAAAAGTAATATAGAAAGCATTAGTGATTCAAAAATGCTTGTTAATGTTTCAAGTTGGCACAATGCTGGAAAATAGCCAATTTTTGTTAAATTGAGGTTTTTTTTTTGGAATAGGCAAGCCTACAATTTTCAAAACTAGAACAAATTAATATAAGTTGGTTATTTTCCTTTCTAAAAAGAGGACAGGAGAACATTCCAATACACAAGATTTGGTCTACAGGTACTGTATGCAGCCCATAATCTAATTTCAGGAGCTTCCTGACCTTAAACCTGGGAAATTCCGGCCAGAGAGGGCCTACCTCGGCTTTGCAACAGCACAGCTTGTGCTTATCCAGTGCCTATCCAGTGCTTGCTACTCTTTTGCCCAGAAGGCCTGAGAGCTGATTGGCTTAGCCTGGGAAGGGTGACTACAATTTGTGTTCATTGGACATACAATTTTCAAAATAAAATTTAAATCCTCACAATAACTTCTGCAAAGTAAGAAAAGTACTATTGAATACCATGTGTTTCAAAATGAGGTGAACACATTTTGTATTAAAGATGTTCTCTGTCTTGTTTGTAACTTTAAAATATCTCAGTTTAAAAATACAATGTTGAGACAAAGCATATTTTGTAATTTCATTGATAAAAAATTTTTCAGAGAAATCCAAAAACGAAGCCAGCTTTTAAAGGGCTTTGATCAGATACTGTAGTGTTTGTTATTAGTTTCCACAATTTCAGCAAAGAAAATGAAACCATTCTCTGGTAAGAGAAAAAGGAATAGGCATACATACAGTTGCAGATATTATTTTCTGATATTAAAATTTGCTTTATTTTTCCCAAATCAGCTTTCATGGAAAAGTCCTAACAGTCACCACTGCTGGTGAATAATTTTTAAGTCAGTGTTTTGGTTGTATTTTAATTTGCTCTGCTTTATATTTTAGGAAGATGGGAAATAGAAGAACTGAAAGAAAACCGAGTGCCTGGTGACAGAGGACTGGTGTTGAAATCCAGAGCAAAGCATCATGCAATATCTGCTACATTAGCAAAACCCTTCATTTTTGCTGATAAACCTTTGATAGTTCAGTAAGTTTTATGTTTTTAAAGATTTTCTTAAATTTATATTAGTTTTATATAATTTGATTTGTGAGGATAACTATAATGGTTATAAAATGGGCTAAAAATCCAGATTTTCCTTTTCAGTTTTACTTAAACACACAATGCATGTGTATACACAAACACTCCGGGGTTTTGAGTGAAAAGCAGTTAATTCTATATAATAAAAGGGTAATATGCAAATTGACCCTAACAGCAGAATGACCAGAATGACTGCTCAACCAGTCACTATGAGGCATACTGACTACTTCTCGGTCCCTTTCCCTGGCTGGCAGGCTCCAATTGCCCGGTGGCAAATGCGGAACTAGGGTTAGGGGGTGGCGCCAGCTGCAGGCAGCCAGGGAAGATGGCCCTGATCTCAGGCCAGGCCTAAGGACCGTACCTGCGCACGAAGTTTGTGCGCCGGGCCTCTAGTTTAAAAATAATAGACAGTGATTGAGTCTAGACATAATAGGATAATTAAGCTATATTTACATTTATAGATATAATTTACAAATTGCTCTTTCTCATGCTTAGCTTTTCATAGAGCACTTTGTTCCTCAAGTTACCTATAATAAAGCTATATCTTTTTATGTTATTTTACCTAAAATAGTGAATGTGTATATTTAAGTCACATTGTGAATTATTTATTTTACTTTATAGTCTTCAAAGACCTGAATTTCTTTGACAGCTACTGCCTAAAATAAAACTATTGAGAAGGCTTTGAGGAAAACAAACTGTCCTTTATTTAAAAAATGAAAAAGGATAAAACAAAACCTTTCTTCTGATCATAAGAGAAGCTAACAATATTTTTTGCATTTTTTGACATATTAACTGATGCCTACTTTAATAATATAGAAAAGGAATATAGTTAAATGAAAATTACATTGCCCACATATTCAAATGTTATTTATTAATTAAAAATTTTAATATCAATTCAAATCTTAAAGTTAACCATAGTACGAAAACTATAGGATTGAGTTCACACATAACATTAAAAAATTTCACTAGCATAACACGTTTAAAATTCATCTATTATTACAACTTCATTTAAACATTTTTATAATATTAATTATAATTTTATAAATTTTCATAATTTATGAAAGCAATGGTAGTTTTGACTCATAAAAACCAATGTAGGAAATTTAGAAAATTTTAGTCATGAGAAAATAAACTCTCCCTTGCACAATTATACTTACATTGTTCCTTTTTTTTTAAGAAGTCAAGTAAATTTAGTTTTTATTTCTCCTTGATTTTTACTTATCTTTATTGTTGAAAGTATTACAGATGCCCCCCTTTTTCCCCCTTTGGCACCTTCCTGCCACTCCCGCCCCCTCCCCAGACCTCTACCTCACTATTGTCTATGTCCATGGGTTAATCATGTATGCATATAAGTTCTTTGGTTTATCTCTTCCCGAGCACCCCCCCCCCCTCCCTCTGAGAATCCTTAGTCTGTTGCATGCTTCCATGTTTCTGGATCTCTTTCGTTTGTCAGTTTATTTTGTTCATTAGATTTCACATATTAGTGAGATCATGTGTTATTTGTCTTTCTCTGACTGGCTTATTTCACTTAGCATAATACTCTCTAGGTCCCTCCATGTTGTCTCAAAGGGTAAGAGGTCCTTCTTTTTTATAGCTGCATAGTATTCCATTGAATAAATGTATCACAGTTTTTTTTATCCACTCATCTACTGATGGGCACTTGGGCTGTTTCCAGCACCAAAATGAAAAGGGAACAGCTGGAAAGAATATATTTGCCAATGATAAATCTTATAAAGGGTTAATTTCCAAAATATAGAAAGTACTCATGTAATTCAACAAAGGGAAAACAAACAATCCAGTTCAAAAAATATAGCAGGGTTATTTACAATAGTTAAGAGAAGTTAACATTTTGAGCATTTATTTACCCATTGCTGTGACAGGGTAATCATCATGATAATCCTTTGAGGCGTAGGTATGGGCAGTGTGTCCATATGATAGATGAGCAACTAGAGACTTAGATCTTAAATAATTTGCCTTTACCCTCAGAGTCACTAGAGTAAGTGGCAGAATCAAGAATAAATCTCAGGTCTTTTTTATTCCAAAGTATACACTTGTCACCATATTGTAGAGATCTTGAGAACTAAAGCAGAGTAAAAATAGGAGGGGAAATAACCATGATCTGGCATCTCAGATAATCACTCAAATTGTTACTATATTTCTTGTTCTTTTCAATACAAAATGTATACACTAACTGTGTTCATACTGTTAAAGTTTTGTATTCTATTTTTTTACTCTATTATCACTAAAGTTTCTTTTAGAAAGATTTTAAACAATAGTTCATTAAAATTACCACTAGTTTCTGTTGTTTTTCTAGTTTTTATCTTTCTTTTTTATATATATCTATCATATCTATAGATATATACATTTTTTTAATTGATTTCAGAGAGGAAGGGAGAGGGAGAGGGAGATAGAAACATCAACGATGAGAGAGAATCATTGATTAGCTGCCTCCTGTACACCCCCTACTGGGGATCGAGCCTGCAACCTGGGCATGTGCCCTTGACCAGAATCAAACCTGGGACCCTTCAGTCTGCATGCTGACGCTCTGTCCACTGAGCCAAACAGGCTAGGGCTAGTTTTTATCTTTCTTTTTCTTAAATTCATTAAACCAAATCATAACTTTTTGGTTTTCACTGTTTTTCACTGATAGACAGTTCCTCATTGATTTATATAATTTGTAATTAATCACTTTACCCAAATTCTCTTCTAAATACTGTTTACTAAGTCTGTGTCTCATTGCCTAACTAGTTCCTTAAGGTGTTTGTTTGTTTGTTTGTGTGTATGTGAGGGGGATTTTTTGCTGAGAAATACTCAGTGTTGTAAATCCATGAAAAGACATTCACGTCAGTTCTCTCCTTTAGCTGTTATACTATATTTCCCATCTCTCCTGGCTGTTAAAATCTGACATACTCCAAGTTATTGATTGAGATTATGAAGACTCTTTGCTGGAGGAATTTAATTGGATGTACAATTCTTTAACATGGTTAGGTATAATTGAACTAAAAGACAAATTAGTAGTGTACTGGATATCTATGATCATTAGCAATTCCTTAGAGTTCTATTGCTGTGGCTATCGATGGTCCTCATAGTCTTTGTTTTTTAGTCTATTAAGAAATATGTAGGGTATACCTTATCTGAATTTGAAGTTTCCTATTATTGTTTTAGTCAAAGTATTTTATTCTTAATTCTGCAGTTTTGATGGAAAAATTATTTCAAAAGTTAGTTGGCTTTTTAATACTTGATAATCATTCTACTTTTAACGTTTTAAGGATGTGCATAGAGAAAGCATTCTGCTTATGTCCTCTAGGCTGTGGATGTGCTTATAATGGGCTTTCTGGCAATATAAAATATTCATGTTTAAATGAATGGAGAGTAATATAGTAGATTTTTAAAGAGCAATTAGTAATTTTTACTTATCAGCAGTGTGATTTTTTTCCCTTTATTTAGATATGAAGTAAATTTTCAAGATGGTATTGATTGTGGAGGTGCATACATTAAACTCCTAGCAGACACTGATGATTTGAATCTGGTATGATATTTTAATGTTAATAAGTATTAAAGTTAATAAGTACTTTAAGGAGTAATTGATAAAATTAAAAAATTTTAATTTTCAACTGAAATTGAAAACAACTTTGAAAATCTTTATCTAACATGAGTTTTCATGGCTTTTACAGTGTGCCTTCAAGTTTGATGTACAGCCGTATTACTTGATGGCATCAATTTTTGTAATTTTTAGCAACATAAAAAAATTTTCCATGTCTATAAATAAGAAATAACATGGTGCATATAAATGTCAGTGAAAGATCAACTTAGAGTTATTTTCTTTACCAAATAAGAATCATATATTTGTTCAGAAAAATAAGATAACAGAGCAAAGTAGTGAAACAGAATGATCAAAGAACTAAATAAAAAAGGTGGGCCAGTTCAGGAATTGGCAGCCCACAAAACATAACTAAAAATGTTTCATAAAGAAGCAGCTTGTATTAAGCCCATTTGAAGGCTGGGGATGTTGAATTCGTACAGCGTTCTCCTACAGGAGGCTGGCAGGGTGCCTGCATACAGCAGGAATAAGATGCGGGAGATAGTGAGATACCTGTCAGAACACATGGCTCTGTACAGGCTGTGGACATGGAGTGAAGGAGTCCTGCGCCACTATTTGGACCTGGTAAAGGGGAGGTTATATAGTAAATGTGCAGGCTCTTGTTTAGGTATTACCAGGTGACAATCACCGGAGGGTATAACGACAATAATAAAACCTAGTGTCAAGTATTTCTTTAAGCACTTTATCTAATTAATTCAGTTGATTCTCAGAGAAACCTTTTAACATATTATCTCCATACTTCAGAGGTGATGAAACAAAACTACAGAGCGGTTAAGGAATTTGCCAGGGCCACATGCAGCTAATATAAGTGGCAGCGGTAGGACTTGAGCCCCGGCATCTTACTCTAGATCCCATGCTCTTAACCAGTAGGCCATGTCAGATGAGAAATTACCAGCAGTAAAACAGCAGGACAAACAGTCTCTGTGTCTGTTTTTGTTTCTGAATTTCTCTTCACTCTGGCTCAGGAGGGTCATTTTCTAGTGTATTCCTGCATAATAGTGATGGATAATTGTTGTCTTGAGGTCATAAGTATGCTTTTCTCTATACTGAATTTTCTTAATAAAATATTAGTAATATGGATTTGCATAAAGTAAATATGCTTATTATGATGTTGCTAGGGTGGTTTCAGCTTCCCTCCTACATCTTTATGAAGGAAGAAGTGTATGCTTTAAAAAAATTTATTTTGAATAGTATTTGTCATTTTTCCACATCCTTTTTTTGTCATGTGTGTTAAATAATTCTTTGGTGAATTAGCATTTAATATATTTTTGTAAAGTCGGCCCAATTGGATAGACTAGAGAAATTCATTAAATACTCTAATTCTGGATTAATCCCATCACTCATCTCTCTTTGAAGGAAAACTTTCATGATAAAACATCCTATACCATTATGTTTGGACCAGATAAATGTGGAGAAGATTATAAACTTCATTTTATCTTCAGACATAAACACCCCAAAACTGGAGTTTTTGAAGAGAAACATGCCAAACCTCCAGAAGTAGACCTGAAAAAGTTCTTTACAGACAGGAAGACTCATCTATATACCCTTGGTATATCCTTTTCATTCATTCATTCATTCAAAAATATTTGCTGACTGCTGATATTTTTCATGGCAAGTGCTTTGGGAGAAACAAACATGGATCCTATCTTTTTAGGAAAAAAGACAGGCATAATTCTAATATAGGTAGGAAGTAAAATACCATTTGAGAGGTACAGATGAGTTAGTCAAGAGTTCAAAATCAGTATCACTTCCAGTTTGGTGACTCTAAGAAAACCTAGTAAAGGAGATTGTATCTGAACTAGTCTTGAAATGTAGATAGAATATGGAAAGTAGGAGGTGAAAAGGATGTTTTAGGCACTATGATATTAGTAGTGCTGTAAGAATAGAAAGCTGGAAATAAGATCAAAGAGGAAGAAGTCTGTAAGGCCAAGCTGAAAGCTTAGACTTTATTCCAGAGGCAGTTGTGATTACTGATAGGTCCTACCTCAGGGTGGTTGTGTCTATATCTAAACTTAGAAAGGGAAAGCATTGAGCAACCATGCATCAACACACCCAGCTTTACTTTATGAAAATAGGAGTCTGTATAGACGTTCAGGGGGCAGAACTTTATAGGGGTCATTCCTCCCCTTCCCAAGTACATATGGTTGTAGAGCTATGGTCTGCCCAGGATTCTGTAAAATCACAGCATGAGAATCCAACAGGACAACTCCATCCAGACTGAGGCATTTCAGCTTTCCTCCCAAAGACTGCAGTTGCAGAAATATTCACCTGGTCTGCACAGGCAATGACCAGTTTCATTTTTAATGGAAACATTGACATCAAAGACTGTATATGAAATTGGAAAATAGTACTGGACGTTTTGGGGAACATATGTTGTAGAAATCATGTGAAATTATAACTAAGACAAATTAATGTAATCAGACTTTACTGTACAAACCTGGTCAGAAACAATTTGGTAGTATATATTAAAGACCATAAGAGGTTATGTCTTTTGAAACCACAGTTCCGCTTTCAAGAATTTATCCAAATGACCTCTGTGTGGAAATATGCTATAAATTAGAAGTAACCCAAGTGTTATATTAGTGGTTTTCTTTACAATGCAAAATGATAACTATGAAATGTTTAGCAACAGGAAAACAATGCTTATAATATTAAAATGGGGAAAGAAAAGATTCAAATCGGAGGCACATCATAGTGGCCACTAGGCAAAGTATGCAAGCACATAGAAAAAGACTAGAAAAAAAAAGAACTAAAATTGTCATTAATCATCTCATATGTACCATGCTCTATGCTAGGCACTTTGTTTAGAACCATCATGTGAGGGGAGCAGTTTCTATTTTGCCTTAATTTAGCTTAAGTAACTTGCCCTAAGAAGCAATAGTAACTGATAGGACTGGAATTGAAATTCAGGTGTGACTCTTAAACAGGTGCTTTTCGATATATAGGATTTTACTATATATAAAATCTTTATTGTGTTAAGATTCAGTCACTTTTTTCTTTAGAAAAAAAACCCCTCTGTAATACTGTTATATTTTTATGACATTGTTCTGTAATTGTTCTAAGTACCTTACAGAGTATCTTCTGTAAACATGGAAGGGGGTCACTAGGTAAAATTTATATCTTTGGAAAGAATGATAGATGAAAATAGCTGCCTAACATTTGTTTTCAATAAGCTAAGGAAATAGAAGCTGCCAACAAATGTCAGGATCGTCTGACTCACCTAGTTACATGGGCTACGGCTTCCTGAAGAAACGGCTCTGAAATAGAGCCAGTCTCAGAGGGTTCAGTCACAACAATGCCAAATTATGTCAAACTCAAGTACTGCAATTCAGACACAAACCCAAATAATGCAAACACACACTCACTATTGTCTCTTCTTTTCTCCACTATTTCCTCTTCTACTAACAGCTGAGATTAGACACAATATTACACAACAAAGGAAAAAGTCAAGCTAAGAGTAAGAGTAGGACCTTAAATGCAAAACAGTACTAACTAGATCCTTCCTAATTCAAGAAAAAGGTGTTTCTCAAGAAAAATCTGGTAAAGAATGTTTTCTGAATAAATTTCACAATTGAAATTGATTTTTTAAAAATTAGAGTTTAAAAAGTACACAGCAAATAAGCGTTATGTAAAAAACATCTTTGGACAAAAAAAAATCCATTGAGAAGTAATGGTGCATTTTATTAAATTATGTTGTTACTTAAAATTTTATCTTTGATTTTAGAAATCACTAAATCTAGTGATTTCAGCATATTTTAACTTAATACATTGGTAACTCCTCTATTTCTGGTTGAGAGAAAATTTTACCCATGAAGTTTAGGGTAGTTTTATTATTTAAAAGATTATTTTTAAATGTCTATCAATAAGATAACTATAATATTTTTAAATTGGTCTTTAGTGATGAATCCAGATAACACATTTGAAGTGTTAATTGATCAAATAGTTGTAAACAAAGGAAGCCTACTAGAGGATGTGGTTCCTTCTATCAATCCTCCCAAAGAAATTGAAGATGCCAGTGATAAAAAACCTGACGACTGGGATGAAAGAGCAAAAATTCCCGATCCTTCTGCCATCAAACCAGACGACTGGTAAGCAAAGTTTTTGGTAGTAAAGCATTATTTGGTATAATTAAATAATGGCAGAAAACCTCTAAGTGAAGTTTACTACTAATGAAATGTATTCTTTTAAACATCAGAACTACTTATTTTGGTTATTTTGGGTGAAGTACTTTTCTAAAATAGATTTGGAACTTCCCTGCTTTTTAATTATCTTAACTTTCATTTTAATTTAATTAACATTTTAACTTGGTTGCTTTTTTTCAATGTATTTTTATTTTTATGCTCCCAGTGCTATGGAGAGAAAGTTCCATAACTCTAACACATTATCACTTTATTTTAATTTCTAGTTTAATCTTTGTCATGTGTATGCATATTTTGCAGAGTTGTAGTCTTTTCCATTACTTAGACTTAAAATAGGTATGTCTTCAACATCTTATAAAACTACTAGAGGCCCGGTACACAAAAATTTGTGCACTTGCGGGGGGGTTCCCTCAGTCCAGCCTGTGCCCTCTCGCAGACTGGGACCCCTCAGGGGATGACCACCTGCTGGCTTAGGCTCGCTTTCCCGGGTAATTGGGCCTAAGCTGGCAATCAGACATACCTCTAGCAGCCCGGGGGATATCCACTTGCCAGCTGGGAGCAGGCCTAAGCTGCAGTCGAACATCCTTAGCGCTGCTGAGGAGGCAGGAGAGGCTCCCACCACCATCGCTGTACTGGCAGCCATCAGCCTGGCTTGTGGCTGAGCAGAGCTCCCCCTATGGGAGCGCACTGACCACCAGGGGGCAGCTCCTGCATTGAGCGTCTGCCCCCTGGTGGTCAGTGTGTGTCATAGTGACCAGTCATTCCCAGTCCTTCTGCTGTTAGGGTCAGTTTGCATATTACCCTTTTATTATATAGGATATAGAAGTCAGTCATGCCAGTTTGCTTAACCATAATTGTTTTGCTAGCTGAGTATTTGTGTCATTTTTATTCTACAGAATTATGAATATTTTCCCTAAAAGAAATGTATTCAATTCCTGAGTTCCCATAGCTTGAGTCCGGATGGTGAGAGATACCTGTATATGTCTATTTCCTTTATTCCCAGTAACCTTATCATTTTTTTTCTGCTGATTGGGTAACAGTACTGGTTTCGCTAAGTAGATTATCTGTCTGTTTATATTTAACCCACTATATTAGTTATCTATTGCTATGTAACAAATTATCTAAAAACTTAGCAGCTGAAGACAAGAGACATAGCACATCCAGTTCCTGAGTTGGGGATCTGGAAGTGGTTAGCTGTGTGGTATGAATACTAAGTATGAGTTTATAAAGTTCTGTTCTTATTTTACTAAGTTTTTTTTCATGATTAAGTGTTGGATTTTGTAAAAGGCTTTTGTGCATCTATTGAAATTATCATATAGATTTCCTCCTTTATTTTCTTAGTATGGTAAATTATATTGATTGATTTTCTAACCTTACAGTCCACTTGGTCAGCAATTATTGTTCTTTGTACATTTGCTAGACTCTAATTGCTTTTTTTCTGTCAGGTGTAGTATAGTATAATTTCATACAGTTAAATTCATATAAATATTAATATAGTTCTGTTAGTTGTAATGGACATAAACAATGATGTAACTACCACCACAATCATAACAGAATATTTACATCATCCAAAAAGGTCCATATCCTTTTGTAATCAATTTCCTCCTCCCACCCTTAACCCCAGGGGACAACCACTGATCTGATTTCTGTCCCTTATAGTTTTGTCTTTTTTAGACTGTCATATGAAATGAAATCATATAGTGTATAGCTTTTGTTTCTGGCTTCTTTCACGAGATTATTGGAATTATTGATGTGGTTGTATGCAAACCTACCAACTCACTATTGTTTTCTGTTTGTCCCATATATTTTGTGGTTCTTTGTAAAAAGATTTCCTGACTTCTTTTGGATTGAGCTATTTTATTTTATTTATTTTATTATTCTACTTTTTTCTTTTCTGTTAGCTTATTAGCTTCATTCTGGTTTATTTTACTGGTTGCTCTAGGGTTTACAATATGTATCTTTAACTTATTTCAGTCTACTTTCAAGTAGTATTAAACCACTTCATGTCTAAGTGAACATTTCCCCCCTTCCATCCTTTGTGCTTTCATCATATATTTACTTCTATGTATGTGTGAAGGCCACACATATTTATTTTTCAGTCAGTGTCTTTTAATCAGACAATTAAGGGGAAAGTCCTTTTAATTACCCACATATTGACCATTTCTAGTACTCATTCTTTTTTTAAAAAAAAATCCTCACCCAAGGATATTCTTATTGGTTTTAGAGAGAGGGAAAAAGGGAGAGAGAGAGAGAGAGAGAGAGAGAGAGAGAGAGAGAGAGAGAGAGAGAGAGAGAGAGATATTAATGTGAAAATGATTGATTGCCTTCCTTACATGCCCCAACAAGGGATTGAAAACAGCAACCTATGTATGTGCCCTGATTGGGAATCGAACCCACAACCTTTTGGTGTATGGGACAAGGCTTCAACAAATGAGACATACCAGCCAGGCTCTTGTACTCTTATTCTTTAGTGTAGATACAAATTTCCATCTGTTACTGTTTTCCTTTTGCCTGATAAACTTCTCCTAACACATTGTAGTGTGTGTCTGCTATCATTGAATTCTCTCAACTTGGATTTGTCTGAAGACATCTTTATTTTGCCTTCCCTTTTGAAGGATATTTTCACTATTGGATTAAGGTTGATAGTTATTTTGCAACAGTCATGTCTTTTCTTGGACCTTGCATTGCTTCTGATGAGAAGTCAGTTGTTCCCATCTTAGTTCTTTACCTAATATGTCATTTTTTTTCCTGTTGGGTTTTAAGATTTATTTTATTATTACCAGGTTTAAACAGCTTGATTTTCTTGTCCCTTGATGTAGATTTTTTTTGTGTGTTTTTCTTCCTTTGGGTTTTTTGAGTTTTTTGGAATGTGGGTTTATAGTTTCAATCAAATTCAGGTAACATTTGGCCATTATTTCTTTAAATATTTATATGTACCTCTTCATTTCTTTTTGGAGAGCACCACTTAATGTATATTAGATTGCTTTATATTACCCCACAGGTCACTGAGGATCTGGGTGTTTTTTTGTTTTGTTTTGTTTTTGTTTTTTAATATATTTTATTGATTTTTTACAGAGAGGAAGGGAGAGGGACAGAGAGTTAGAAACATCGATGAGAGAGAAACATCGACCAGCTGCCTCCTGCACACCTCCTACTGGGGATGTGCCCGCAACCAAGGTACATGCCCTTGACCGGAATCGAACCTGGGACCTTTCAGTCCGCAGGCCGATGCTCTATCCATTGAGCCAAACCGGTTTGGCCTGTTTTGTTTTTTTAACCAATATTTCTCTTTATGCTTCATTTTGGAAAGTGTCTATTTCAGTTTCTTTAAGTTCTTGATTGTTTGTGAACATTGAGGTTACTACCTTTTCAGAACATAGAGTGTTGCTCCTGGAACCAAAAGTGTTAACTGGTTAGCTCTCTTGTAGATAAAGAGGGATACTGATTAGTAATGAAAACGTCTTTGCTTTCAGGCAAATAGTATAATAGGGAAGTAACTTGTTCAAGGAGGGAAGAACACTACAGTTTTTTAAACAATAAAAAATCACTTATTAGAGTATCACTTTATGAATTTATACGATCAGAAAAGGTAGGACTTCATCCTCCTTGTAGGTTTTCTAACATTGCTTCATATTTGTTTCCCCATAAAGTGTAACGCTGACACTGGGAAATAAGTTTGCCCTTAAATGAGAGAAACTGCATATAGAGACCTCACTCTGATTGGTGACATGTATTAGAAGTTGTCATATACGTAAGTGTACAAGAAATGCTCCCTTAAATTTTAAACTCTGGTTATTCTGAGCCCTCAGAGACTCAAGATAACACTGACATCAGCCAAGTACCAGTCTTTACACAGAGAGTTGATTGTTTTAGTTTACTTGCTTATTTCATCTTGATTGGAAAATCATAACATAGTCTCTTTTGAAATTTCTACTTTTCTATAAAAGTTATATTAGTAGTTCTATTCAGTACATATTAAAATTGTGGTTATATATTTTAGAGTTTACAAAGTTCTATTTTTAAATTAAAATTACTAAAATTAAATATTTAAAAATATTAGTGTAGGAAAGACCTTTCTAAATCTGATATAAAATTGAAAAATTAAAAAGAAAATATTAACAAATTTTAACTACATTAAAATAAATGATTTTTACATGGCAAAAAAATCACCATAAACTATAATAAAAAACACATGAGAAACTAGAAAAAATATTTTAAATTCATATAGCTGACTATACTAGTAGAGGGCTAATAGTATACTAATTTCTAATATATTCCAGGATATTCATGATAGCCTTATTTGTAATAGTACATTTTGGAGAACACTGAATGCCCCTCAGTTGTAGACAGGCTAAATAAATAATGCTACACCCTCCAAGGAGAAGACTGTGGAGCTGTTAGAAAGAATGAAGCAGATGTATGTGTACATGAAATAGGGCTCCTCGGGCAGTCTTCACATGTCAACATCCAATATGTATTTGTTGATGAATGACTGAGTTTTAAATGACAAAAGCAACACTTAACATACTTTATATAGAATGCTCTTTGTATAAAAAAGAATATATACATGTGTGCATGTATGCATAGAGTGCAACAGGAGCAATGTACAAAAAACTGGCAAGTTAGTGGAAGATTTAGGTGATGAGAGGTGGGAACATAGTAGGCACAAAGAAGTGCAGGAAATACTTTTGGTACCTTCTGAATTTTGTACCGTGCATTTGTAAACCTTTGAATAATTAATAACTAACATAAAATCCTGGACTTACAGGGATGAAAGTGAACCTGCCCAGATAGAAGATTTAAGTGCTGTTAAACCTGATGGCTGGCTTGACGATGAACCGAAATTTATTCCAGATCCCAGTGCTGAGAAGCCTGATGACTGGTAAGCATCTTTCATCTCCAGAGGCCCATCCATTGCATGTTTCTTAGTTGCTTTTTTGTTGCTAGTGTATATGACTGACAGTAGAGAATTGAGGTTATTATATTTGCTTTGTTTTAATGTCCTAAGGAATGAAGACATGGATGGAGAATGGGAGGCACCTCTTATTTCCAATCCAGCCTGTCAGATTGGGTGTGGTGAATGGAAATCTCCCATGATAGATAACCCAAAATATAAGGGAGTATGGAGACCTCCAATGATAGATAATCCTAATTACCAGGTAAGCACCACTTGTTCCAATCCCATTGTAGAGTCAAAATGTTATGCTAGTTCTATTATACTAGTGCCCCGGTGTACAGATTCATGCACATTGAAAGGAAATTAATTAGAAGGTGGCCGGCGGGGCAGGATTGGGTAAGATGGGGCAGCGCCATGGCTCACAGGGCGGCTGCGGAGTGAGCGGGGTCCCTCCAGCAGGTGGGGTCCCTCGGCCTGGCCTGTGGGGTTCGGGACAAAACTGGCTCTCTGATATCCCCAGAGGGGTCCCGGATTGCAAGAGGGCAGCTACTTCTTAAGTAGCATTTATAGTGAAATTATTTTATTTGAAAATGTCTTCCAATTATTTTTCTTCCAGGGAATTTGGAGTCCTCGAAAAATTCCTAATCCGGATTATTTTGAAGATGATCATCCATTCCTTCTGACTTCTTTCTCTGCTCTTGGTTTAGAGCTTTGGTCTATGACCTCTGATATCTACTTTGATAATTTTATTATCTGTTCGGAAAAGGAAGTAGCAGATCGCTGGGCTGCAGATGGTTGGGGAATGAAAAGAATGATAGCAAATGCTAACGAGGTACGGTACTGACCATATAGTAATAATGGGACTTGGTCCTGGTTATAGTCATGCAAATTATCCTTTAAAAGGTAATAAATATTTAATAATTATTGAGTACCAAAATAAATGTACTTAAATTTATATAGCTAGAATATTTAGCTTTACTATATTATGATACTATATAAACTATATAATGAACATTATATGATACATTATCAACTATATAATGAACTATATGTAAGTCTTCATTTCATTCATTAAATTATGATAGCTGTAATGAGGTTATTTGCTGTTTATAGAAATGATACTACTTATTTCTATTTGTAGTCTTTGTCTATAAGTCTTTGTTACCTTGTCAGTTCTAGGCCTAAGTGGTAGCAATAATTCCCAGGTTGATTTTATTAATAAGTCCTTTAAAAGTATAAAATGCGTTATCAGAGCTGTATACTTCTAAATGAACCAGATAACACAAGTTGGGGCAAAAGTAGATTTACAGTTATTCAAATAGAAAATAATACAAATAGAAAATACATAAATAAGAATTTAAGAATAAACTCTGTTTTGCATACTCACAACTGTAAACCTACTTTTGCCCCACCCTGTGTATATCTATAAAGACTAATTATATCCTGCAATTTAAAGTTACCAAAAAAGAAAATTGTCATTATTTTTGTTGGTAGGTTAGCAGTTTCCACCTATGTAGTAACTTATCTTCTACTACAAAGTCTCCCAACAACAATGGATGCTAATAATTAATAGGTTTAAACTTTATAAAGTATAAGAAAAGAATATGAAGTATTTTTTAGTTTAACAAGTTCACACTCCTTAATATAAAACTCCTAGGTAAAATAAGTTTTGGGGATAGGCTGTATTTCCTGATGAAGGTTTGTAATCTGAGTTACATTTTTATGCTGATTTCCTCTGCAGCCTGGTGTACTTACACAGCTAATGGCAGCTGCTCAAGAGCATCCCTGGCTTTGGCTCATTTATCTTGTGACAGCAGGGCTTCCAGTAGTATTAATTATTTCATTTTGTTGGCCAAGGAAAGTAAAGGTAAATAAAATGAATTTTCTTCAACTTAAAAAAATACCTCTTAGTGTTTAAGAGTTCTATGAATTGAGGAAGTGGTTCTTAAACTAAATTTTGCATAGATTTTTTATTGTGTATGATGTCATTTATTGAAAAATTTTTTAAAAAATATAGTGCTTTGTGGTCCTGGCTGGGTAGCTCAGCTGGTTAGTGTCTTGTCCTCATACACCAAGGTTGTGGGTTTGATCCCCGGTCAGGGCACATACAAGAATCAATCAATGAATGCATAAATAAGTAGAACAACAAATGTATCTCTCTCTCTCTCTCTCTCTCTCTCTCTCTCAATAAATAAACAAAAACAGTGCTTTGCTTTTAGTAAAAATAGCTTATGTTAAACTACCACAGAAAAAATATGAAGATGCAGAGTATAAAAAACCTGACATATGTAAACCACAGACAAAGGGAGCGCTAGAGCAAAAAGTGAAGGAAGAGAAAGCAGCCCTGGAGAAACCAGTCGACTTGGAAGAGGAAAAAAAGCAAAGTGATGGTGAAATTCTTGAAAAGGGTAAGACAGTGACAGTGATTTATAATGAGGACCCTGGCCAAAGCTCATAAAAACAGTAGATTATCTGGGAAACACTAGCTCTTGTACTACTTGTGTATTGTCAGAATTATACCATCTGAATCCCCAAGAATGCGTGACTATAGCAAAGAGGAGTTATCATCCCTGCCTGGGTGTTGTACCTTGAGCAGCCATCACCTTATTCAGTTTTTGTCTTCTAGGAAGAAAGATATTTAAATATTGTTCAGTTGCTTACGAGCCTAGCAACTATGAATTCCACATGCCCCAGCTTTTTGCAAGGACTTTCCTTCACTCCAACAATGCAGATGAGATGGGCTGTGTAGCCCATGGCCTCTGTACAAGAGAATAGGTGTAAGGCAGGTGACTGCAGCAACAAAATCAACACTTCCAATGGCTGTTGTTTATCAGATAGCTTATCAGATCAAATAAATAATTTAATCTCCTGAAAGGGTTGCTGAATCATATGTCCCCTTCCCACCCTATACTAAACTCCTAAAGATGTTAAAGAACTGAGGCTTTTTGGTGGCTCTCCATTGAGACGTCCTCACGAACACCTAGGTAAGTGTAAAACTATTGGTATTTGCCTATTGTCCCCAGCCAACATCCAGGTTGAGCCCTTTATGACTTAAATTATGTCGTGAGCACTGATTTTAACTCTAATAAGTTTATGAAATAGTTGATTTAAAAACACACACACATACATATATTTACATATGTATGTGTACATATATAAACACACACAGAGATTCTTTGGTTTTCATATTACATACAGACTGCTTAAGAATTCTTTAAATCTGTCCCTTCAAATATAATTTATTTATAAAATGTAGTATAATAATTAGTATTTTTAGTTATTTAAAAAATTTATAGAACAGTTTGTTTTTAAACATTAAAACTTAAATAAACCCTCCTTATTGTATTAATTACTTTTCAATAGCAAAATTCTAATTCATCAAGCCTTTGCCTTTAATAAAATCTGTATTCCAGAAGAAGAAGGTGAACCTGAGGAAAAGAGTGAAGGAGAAATTGAAATAATAGAAGGACGAGAAGAAGGTAACAAGTCAAATAAGTCTGGATCCGAGGATGAGGTGAGCAACTCTAACAGAAAATAAACCAGTTTCTATGTATGATCATTAGCCAAGTGTTTATGTCAATAAAAGCAGAAATCTGGTTTGTAAAGGATTTTTTTGCCATTTTCCTCTCAGCTTTCATAAGAGCCTCAATAATGTTTTTGAAATATGTCCATTAAACAAGCAAGAAAATACTGTAATTTATATCATCTTAATGCCTAATGAAATAGTATAAAGCCAGCCCATGGTTTATAAAATATATAGAGAGGACTGTGTCTATAAAATATTACAACTTTATCATTAAAGTATTCTGTTGAAAGGTATAATAAACAGACCATTTGAATATTTAAAAGGTAATTGTGTTTATTACAACAGTTTCTTAACAGTCATTTTATACACATTCTCATTGATTCAATAATTTATATCCCACATTCTGAAATATTTCACTTATTGATTGGGTAATTGAGTACTATCTGCCTGATATGGTGCTTTTCTCAAATCTTTAGTAAATTTCCCCATTAACTTGATGGGTCTACCCCTTTTTATACCCTGATATGAAATAGCACTTTCCATAGTACCTTTTTTAAGTCAGTTAAGTCAGTTATGGAATCAGAACCACCCAGATATAATCAGAACCAGAGCTTTTTTTTTTTTCCTATCTAGCATATACCCAAGGCTGTTTTCTATACTTCTCCAGCCCTTGAAGAGCTGCATAATCTTGGCCCAGTCACAACTCTTACTACTTAGCGTTAGATAGGGTGACAGTACATGATGAAATAAACTATTTTGTCCATTTGAAGAAATCTCCCAAATAAACTTGCTTTATTGTTATTGTTTTCTAAAGCTGATTCAGTACATATACCTGGTTACTGGTCTTAATTGCTTTGTGAGGTTTTAAAGGGGTTTGGAGATCATTATCTAGGATGAATATCCTAGTTGGGTGGAGGTAATTTCTTCCAGAACAGAGTTTTAAACAGTCATTATTTCAGCTGTCATTCACTAAATAATAATACTTGCAATCATTCACGTGCATATATATTCTAGTTACATTTTTTATTGTTAACACTATTACAGATGTCCCCCATTTTCTCCCCTTTCCCCCACCCTCCCCACCCAAGGCCTTTATCACACTATTGTCTCTGTCCATGAGCTATGCATATATGCATATCTGTTCTTTGGTTAATCTTTTTCTGTCCCCCCTCTAGTTACATTTTGCTTCACATAATATTTTGTGTACCTTTAAAATATCTTAATTCCATCTTCCAGTCGTTTAGTCTTCTCATATACATTTGTTAGTGAGCTAAAATAAGCCACTTTTTGTATATTATAACCTTCAAAAATAATTTTAACTCTTTTGTATAATCCTATATAATAAAGAGGTAATATGTAAATTAAATCTCATGTCCTCACAAGATGGCTCCCTATGACCAGGCCAGCAGGGTAGTTAGTGAGGGATGACCAAATGACTGAACAGCAGGCTGCGTGGGGCGACCAGGCCGGCAGTGGGGTTAGTGAGGGACGACCAAACGACTGAACAGCAGGCTGCGTGGGCGACCAGGCTAGCAGATGGGGGCAGTTGGGGCACCAGGCCCGGCG